AATATCGGGAGGTACCGTCGTATGGGCGCTGTACGAAGACGTGAACCTGCACAGACAAATTTTTGTCTTAGGCTGTAGTATCCATTACGAACTTCAAATACCAAATTTGAAACAATTCCGGTGAATAATGTCTCTAAAATCATCAAAGTACCGAATATAGGGAGGTAACATTATATGGGGGCTATACGATGACGTGGACTTGCACAGACACTTTTCTGTCTTAGGCTGTAGTATCCATTTCGAAATTCAAATGCCAAATGTGAAACAACTCCGGTGAATAATGTAGCTAAAATCACCAAAATACTAAATATCGGGAGGTACCGTTATATGGGTGCTAAACCAAAACGTGGACCTACATGACCCATTTTCAATACTGCAGTCATTATATACATTTGAGTAAAATTTTATCAACCTACTTCATTTCCTTCGGAAGCTAGAGCGATTTCCGCAGACGGACGGACATCGCTAAATCGACATAGATTTTTATGCTGATCAAGAATATATATACTTTGTGGGGTCTAAAATGTATATTTCGAGGTGTTACAAATGGAATGAAAAACTTAATATATCCTCCATTCTATGGTGGAGGGTATAAAAAGGTTTTAAATATATTTTTTTTAAACAAGAAAAATATTTTATTCCAAATCTCAAAATAAACGATTGGCGAACAACTAAAGGACTCTCGAATTTTTCTCAGAGGTTTTGGCATTTTTCGAAATCTGTCTCATTTTTCTGTCTCTCGAAAAATGTCAAAAAGCCAGAGAAAAATCCAGGAGTCCGTAGATGGCATCATCGTTGAAATTTGGAAGCCATTCAAACTATATGAAGTCTCAGTGTAATCTTTTTCAAAATATTTACCAAAGTTATAGCTCATACATAGGCAATAAGGATCAGAAATTAAGTCTCACCGATGAATATTTTGTTTTCTTTCAATTTGAATAAAATAATTTTTCTACCTCACAGATGTATTAACCAATGCTCTTTTGAAATGTTCCAGAAAAATTCTGTATTATTCCCAAAAAATAGTGCTATTTTATTCAACTAAACTGTCTTCCCTTTCCAAAACTATTGTAAATTCAGGCAACTATTTCTTCTCGTTTTTTTTTTTTATTTTGCCAACATTTCAAAACGCTGCCAGCAAAACTTTATGAAAAGCCATTGTCCGCAACTATTGCCAACAGCAAATCCTTGATGCATTTAAATGTGCACTGCTGGTGAAAGAAACCCCATCAATAAAAAGACCAACAACAACAACAAACAATTTTTGTTTAATGTCAAGTTCAAAAGTTTATACGTCATCCATGATTCGAGGAAGTTTGGGTTTTTTTATTTGTGAAAATAAAAAAAAAAACAAAATTTTTGGTTGATGTATTACAGGGGAGAAAAAAAATGTTAAAATACAAATAGTTTTTTTTGCCCCTGGCCGAAATTTTAAGATGCTACTCCTTGAAAAATTTTTGCCAAAAAAATTAAAAAATAATTAAAAAAAATTAGTGGAAAAATTATAAATTTTTAGGGTAAAAAATAAAGAATTATTTTAAATATATACCAAAAATGCAAGGATGTTTAATATTTGCAAGAAATAAAAAAAAACTACTTTAGACTATTTTTGGGCAAAATTTTCTGAAAAATCATTTTTGTCCCAGTATAATATGATTTTCAAAAAAAAAAAAAAAAATATTGGTTTTATGTAAAAGTGCAAGTAAAAAAACAGCTTTTTATAAATTCCTAAATTCCGCATGAAAAAAATCATTATAATTATTAAAACAGCGAATATCGTCTGGATCGATATCCATCAGAATCTATCCTATTTGAACTTATATTCCACTTTTTAGGCACAATAAACATAAAATCGGATGAAGATATATAGATGTGAGAGCTATATCCAAATCTGAACCGATCCCTATAAAATTCAGCAGAGGTATTTCTATGCTGTATCTGAAAGTTAACACCAGATATCGTTTTTGTGGAGAGTATTTTACGCATGTGCGGGAGTGAAATACAAAATCGGATGAAAACTATATATGGGACCTATAGCTATATCCTTACCGATTTTCCTCAAATTTCATGCACTTTTAGCCTGCAAGACTAAATTCGTTAGTATGTGCGCTATACGAAAACGTGAACCTATACGCATACTAAATTCCGCCACAGGAGCTGGAACCCATTACCATACAAATTTTTAAACAAATCCGCTGAAAATGTGGCGAAAATCATCTAAATGGATTTTTTAAGAATATTTTTAAAGGACCTTTAGAACATCAAACGTGGATTTCTTTAAAGGACTTTTAAGCCATCAACCGTGGATTTTTTAAAAATATTTTTAAAGGACCTTTAGATTACCAAACGTGGATTTTTTAAGAATTATCCAATTGAGATGAAATTTTCCGAACAATATTTTTTTGTCCCAAGGACACACCCTATTGAAATTGGCGGGAATTGGTTGAAATTTAGATATAGCTCCCACGTATATCTTCAACGGGTTTCGGATTAATTGTGCACCAAATGGTCAATATCAGCCCAAATAACCTGAGTTTTGGCAAATCCGACCAATAATATTAAGTTCGGTGAAAATCGGTTCAGATATAGCTCAAGCTCCCATATATATGTTTAATTCGACTTGGTGTTATAGTCCCTCACATTCGTAATATGCATTCGACAGCAATAATATTTCTTACAAGTTATCCCATAGAGGTCGGAAATACATTTGGCAAATTTTTATCGATAACGGCTAGGATTTGGATTTAGCTTCCATCCATTCCATATCTTTATCCGATATCAAAATACCGAATATCAGTACCGTCATATCAAATACGTGGACCGATATATCTCATTTTCCATACCAACCATTCTAGACACAACTGTTATATTTTGAAGGGCTTAGCTAAAATTTATTAATTTAGTAGCCCATAACTTGGCTCTTTGGAATCTTGCATATTAGTATCTTCAGAAGTTTAGGATCTCGTGATGATTTTGGAAATTTTGAAACTATACCAATTGCTTTATAATTTTTTACATTTTTCCGATGGCGGAGAGAATTAAAAATTCGGCACGAAAGCAAATTTTACTCCCTGACGCTTGGATATTTACTTCGAGACTCTCCCCTTAGAATCAAACGCTAAAGAAATGCTATAACTCAAAATATTCAAATTCTTATTATTTGAATTTGAAAATGTTGAACTATTTCCTCTGTTCGAGAACCTGCAAGAATCTACTAGTTTTGCAAATGTTTTTCGATATCACAATAGGAAAATCGGTTATCATAGCAAAAACTTTGCGTTATTTAAGGCTCACAGAAGAACAGAGCCATTTGCTTCAACATTTTTAACCGCTCGGTAAATTCAGAGTCTGGAAATTTGTCTAAATTTATGCCGTTTGTAAGAGATTTCAAGAAAATTATTTCAATCGCTCATTGACCAAATTTAGCACCGCTTTTTCCTGAATACTTGTCAATGATTTAATTCAGATTTGAAGAAATTGTGTGTTTTAAACTAATTAAATAATATTTTACTAAATTTTATCCCATACCACATAACCTCTAATATTTTTTAGAAAACTCAAAAAAAAAAATTGAAACGAATCAATATTAAAGAGGAGAGGATATTCGTTTTGGTATTAAGAAAAATCTCAAAATCAAAAATGATATGAGATATGTAATTTGAATTCAGTCAGAGACCCGGTATAAGGGACCTTAGTTTTTAAGGGATTTGAAATCAAAGAAGAGAGCCTGAGCTAAATTTGACCTAAGGGCGCTGAATTTGTGAAGTGCCTAAAAATTCGTTGCATGAAATAAAAGAAGAGAGTCCGAGCCAGATATGACTTAAATTTGTTCAATTTATGAAGGGTCTAAAAATTCGTTGAATTCAAATGGATTCTTTTCCAAATCCCTTTTTACAAGACTTAAAAAATATCGCTCTGAACCAATTTCTATAAAAATTTCAAAGGCCATATTTTTATGATAGGTCCGGAACAACTCTTTCGAGTAGAATGTCACACCCAACGATCCACACTATTTTTGCTACCTCAAAAATTTCTTTTTGTAAATTTGAGTAAGAATTTTTAATCCTTTTATATCATATCAAAATTTCGAAATTGTTCCAATAAAAAAGGAATCATACTTCGTATCGTGGGTTGGAATTAAAAAACATTCATCCTAATATTATTTTGTGTTGGTTTGTTTAGAGGAAACAAATATTCGTCATGTGGTCCCAAAATCACGGTTACTTGGGCATTCACTTCCGAATCTTTCCTTTTTATTTCAGTCTTAAATTGAAATTAATATTCTTGACCGCTCTGTGGTCAACTCAGTGTTTTATATTTGATTGCAAAATTTGGTTCCTATTTTACATTTAATTTGTCCTGTACCAAGGAATATTTGGTGTTCCCGCATAAAATCTGAAATCTGATTTTTTCAAAAATTAATCCAATTTGCGATTTCAATTTTTTTTTTTTTTTTTTTTTTGAATTGGAGACGCACCTCTCTTTAATCCAAATGTGTTGGGAGGGCCGGATGCCATTCAAAATTGTAATTCTTAAGATTATTTTTCACATTTCCATACAAGAAAATTTCACCGACGTAAGCAGAAACGACTTTCGAAGCTATTTTCGGGCTCACTCTGACTACGTCGGTGAAAACCGTCTCAAAGTGCATTCTACTGGGCTCGATCAAAAAGTATACGAGAAATCCGGCTTAAAGTGGGCACGAAGCTAATATTTTGAAGTCCTTAACAGATTGAAAATATTCAGATCAAATTAGGCATCGAAATTTGTTCATGAATTAAAGTTTGGAAAAAAAGGGTACTATTTTTTCCGTTGGATGTCCCGCCGACATTGTTTAAAGTTCCATAGACTTTACGTCGGTTCATATATAGTAACACTTTTCACATTTTCCTTAAAACGCTAACCCGCCGCCGCTAAATACGACACTTGTTCCCACCCAATATTCCCTTCCCCTCTTAGATGGCGATGCATTTCTCCCTCTTAAGCCTTAATCCACTTACCTATATTGTGCTGATTATTGTGTAAAACTGAACCGAACGCCATTAGATCCTTGACCGGCGGTGCTCTCGTACTGAGGGCGGCGAAACCGTCGCCCAAAAATGACGCCAACGCGACAGCCCTAAGGGGCGCTTTTGATACTTCGGTGAGAATTTTGTGATTGTCGAGAATGGCGGGCGTTTGAAAATTTGCGGCACGGGTTTGGGGCGGGCGAGGTGTATCCACACAGAGCGTTGGGAAAAACCAAGTTTTCCTGCAACTGATTTCACTTTTTAGATTATGCACTTAGATTTTTGTTTCTTCTATTTTTTGTTATAATTTTTAGGTTGACATTAATTTCTATTTTCTTTGATATTTTTTTTTCTTATTTGCCCCAAAAGTTGTTTTCTTAGAATTGTTTTTAAAAAAAACTCGAAGAATTTATTTGGAGGGCCAACAACAGGTCGTTGCCAAAATAAAGTTGTTGTTTGTTGTTAATAATCACGACGGCGGCGGCAGTGCCGGAACACGAGATTTGTTTTTATTTTCTTTTTTTTTTTTTTTTTTTGCGAAAAAAATTGAAACTTTTTGACGTTAATTAGCGCGCGCAAAAATTTTTCCAGTAGCAAGCGTCACAAGTTGCAACTTTGATATGGGGGTGTGGGATGGGGGCAGAGCTCAGTGGGCTGGCTGTATGGTCTAAAAATGAGGGGGCAGCGTTGCGTATTAATGCAGCATAGAGAGCGCGAAGACGAGTGTAATTTAATTGTTGGATGGCTGGCTTGGTGGTGTTGTTGTTGTTGCTTGCTTGAATGGGGCTCTTATGCTTTCAGAAAGGATTAATGACTTAATTTCTTGTGCGATCTACGGACAAAAGCCGGTTGGTCTAAACGTAACAATGCACGCACACACACACACACGGACACTTGCCAAAGCACCTACGGCAATTTTTTCACACTTCCGATTAAAGGCCAGACAATTTGGCGGTATTTTTGGTTGCACTTTCACTTGTTTTGTCAGTTGGAGTTTCATACACACTCGTACATATCACACCTCGGAAGGGGTTCACTTTTATCCAAAAAAATAAATAATTTAAATTTTCTGATAATAAATCCACGGGGTTTTGTGTAAAACAGGCTATACGTAATCCATCGGAGCCTTCAAAGGGTTATTTAATAAATTTTTTGATTTCCTCTTCTTTTAAAAATTTGTTTTGCTCTCTTTTTTTTTAATTTCCAAAATATTTAGTTTAATCCGTTCCTCAAATCATTAACGTATTTCTTGTTGTTGTCAATTTTATTCCAACTTGATTCACGTAAAATTTTCGTTTTTATTGAAAATTCTTTTTCTGAGATTGCGCCGTGTTTCCTCCGCTACACATCGAAATAACCACGTAAACACTGAGCGAACGTCAAACGAAAACTAAACATGCCACGGTTTGATTTCAATGCACACAGAGATGGATGCCTTGAGCAACGGCACACACCACAAACAACACAGGCGAAAAAGCAACAAAAACAACCCACAATTCGCGTGTGTGTGATACAGATATATGGCAGAGCAGCTGTAACAGTAGTGGTGGTTGGGGTGTTGAACACAAGCCCTCTTGCTCTCAGCCAGCCAGCCAGGCACAGCAGCAGGTATAACAAAGCAACCGGTTTCCACACAACAACATCATGTGAAGGCTCTCCACAAAACACACACACGCGGAGAGATGAGAAACACCCATTCGGGCACAACCTCTCAATTTGCCGAGAGAGCGAGCCACAACCACATTGCCTTGCCTTTTTTGAACAGCAAAGGAATGAAAAAAAAAACACAACAATGCGAGAGCCATTCAATATTTCCCCTTAAATTACAACTCTCTCAGAGAAACTCTCCTTCAATGAAACGAAAACAGCAATTTTCCTAGGGGTTAAAAAGAGGCCACCATTGTATTTAGTGTTTCTCTCTCTCTTTCACTCACTCCCTGCCTTCACGAAAAACGCAATGGAGTCTGTTGATGACATTTTCAATTCAAAACGTTGACTTGTCTCATATGTCGCCACTGCTACATCTGGCCAAGACGGAGTCATCATTTCTGTGGTTAGAGGGCGTTGCTAAGCAACTCTGGTGCCAGGCAGTGAGGCAAGTTGTTTGTGTTGTTTTTTTTTTTCAATGCTTTATTTTTTTCTTCCTATTTTTTTTGTGTGCGTTATGCTCCCCAACTCTCAGTGAGAGTCCATGGCAGAGTATTATGTGAACATGTGTTTGTGTGGGTGTGTGTGTGTGTTTTGTTTTCCTCAACACAAAAAGAAAACAAACAGCGACAACTGAATGACTGACTGACTGAGGAGTTCACTTCTAAAGATGGTGCGAAATGGTTGTTTGGTTGGAACCAAACCATTTGTTGGGGGAACCAATGGCATTTCAAAAGTGACATTTTGCTCGCTCGCTAGTCTCATTTCGTCGAAGCCAAAAAGAAGAAGAAGAAGCGACATTGACTCCTCATGGATTGGGGTGGGGAATTCATTCCCTCCCAAACCAAAAATACAATGTTTGTGTGTTTGTCCTGTGAAATGTTCCAACTTAAGCCGTCGTAGTAAAGTGAAGTGAAGGTGTATTGGCGTGTGTTTGGCTCACTTGTATTCTTGTTGCTGTTGTTGTTTGTTTTCTGGTTATCATTGCTGTTGTTGTTCTTATAGGTATTTGTTTTTCCTTTTCTTCGTCATGAAGTTTTTTTCGTCCATATTTATTTGTTGTTGCTGCTTGGCTTGCCTTGTCCATGCCTCGTTGGCTGGCTTGCGGTTGTGTGTGTGTCTCTCTGTGTGTGTTTGCACTTTTCCAAGGTAAAATGTCAAATACTTTCTGTTGTCTGTCATTTGTGTTCGCCGCTCGGTTCAAGTGCAAAAACATGAAGTTTTGCTTTGGCTTTAACTTTAAGTGTTGATGGTTTTTGTTTGGTTTGTGTATTGTCGTCGTCTTATTGTTGTTGTTGCTGCTGCTAGCCCCAAATGTGATTCCTAGGTTTATTTTTTGTTTTTGTCTTACCTCCTCAACCACAGCTACGTAGGGTTAACAACTCTATTATTAGCTGAGTTGTGTTGGGGATTTTAGACCAAATAAATAGACATGTTTTAGTAAAGGTATAGTAGACATGAACATTAGGCCTTTAAGGATCGGGCAATAAATATAAAAATCATAAAAATTGAACCTATGTATCCCATCTTTACACTAGATCGAATGAAATTGACAGGTGACATTTTGGGACGTATTTTCTGACGAGGTGGTAAATTTTACGCCCTCTTAATTTTACAATTAAACTTAATTTAAAAATATTTTTTCTAAGTATATTTTAAACTACAAAACATTTTTGCATTTAAAAAAATAAAAGAGACAATTTCAAAAAAAAAAATCACCCCGTTAAAGGCTAAAATAAACTGGAGAATAACTTCGAAGCTTTAAGTCTTGATAGTTGAAAAATTTCGACCCTTTTCATGGAGAGGTACCAGAAGAAGTCTTCCGACACATATTCCACCAAAATAAAAGGCGATCTTATTGGAATATACGAAATTTAAAAAAATGGACACCGACGTAGCCAGAAATGACTTTCGAAATTATTTTGGGAGGTACAAGCAAAAAAAAATGAGATTTTAAGCACAATACTCCGAAAACTTACCAGTTCCATTACCCCTAACTACGTCGGTGGACACCAATTACACGTTTTGAAGGAGTTTATTGACACTAAAAATGCTTGTCATTTTGGGGAGTAGGTGTGAGACACAGGGAGTCAATATTTTCCAAGTTCGCTCCTGACATAAGTCTGATATAAATATCATTACCACGGACCAAGTTTAAAATATATGGGGATCCTGATTAATTTTATAGAGATAACTATAATTCTATTCGAAATTTACATTTTTTTAAGTTTAAATTTTGCGGGAGAAGTTAACCGATATATTTCCTAATCGCAGTAATTTTAAAATGGACAAATATATCATGATGTGCAAATTGTTTAAGAAATTGGAAGCCCAACTTTAAAAAGTTTTTTATACCCTCGGCCATATGGCTACGGAGGGTATATGTCAGTTGATATGGCCAAAACGTGCCTCATCGGTTTTAGACCCAAGGTCTCTTTGGAACAAATTCGTTTCAGGACATTTGGAGTCGATCTCGCGATTACTCTCGAAGGCAATATCTGATTTGTTCTAAACTTGGTACATCGTAATATTAATTTCAAACTTAGATCGAGTTCGGAGATGGACAATATCGACCAACTTCTTCTGGTGCCACCCCCCAACAAAATGTCAACATTTTTAAAGAAAATAATTTGATGCACAGAAAGAGAAAGAATAATCCGATTTTGTTTCAACTTTGAAAATCCTAATATTTACATCAGTTCTACGTCAGGTGCGAAAACGGACAATATCGGTCGACTCAATCAAGTGCCTCCCACACAAAGGGTCAAAATTTTAAATAATTATAACTCTTCTAAAATGCGTAATGTGTAATTTGGACACAATCGGACACTTTAGAGATTGTGTCCAAATTACACACATACAATATTTTTAATAAGATGAAGATATATCGGTCCACTCCTTCTAGGACTTCCCCCATAAGGCGTCAAATTTCTGAATATTCATGAAGCTCATAAAACTCGAAATTAACATCCGATTCCATTCAGAATTGGCATCTCAATATTGGAGGAAATCGAACCATTCTTCCTGGTATCTCCCCCACAAAGGGGCAAAAGTTTTGAATAACAATAACGATTATAAAATCCGAAACAAGCATCCGGTTCTTTTTATACTTCACATAGCCCATTATTTCTACTAATAAAAGATCTGCTGTGGAGGTTAAATATATCGGACCACTCCTTCTGATACCTCCTCCGCAAAGGGTCAAAATTTTGAATATCTATAAAGCTCATAAAACGTGAAATTAACATCTGATTCCATTCAGACTTGGTACATCTGAATGCATCCATCAACACTAAATCTGTTATAAATATAGTAGAGATCGGACCATTTCTTTTGGTACCTCTCCCACACAAAACGCTCAAAGAAAGCGAAATAAGCAAAATTGTCACATATCTCATATAAAGTGAAAGAACGTCATATAAAGCGAAGGAACGAAGGTCAAAACGTGCTATATCGAAATAACGATTTTAGACCCGAAGTCTCCTTGGACCAAATCCGTTTTAGGCATTTGACGATTGTTCCAAAATTGGTACATTGTAATATTATTGTCAAACTTAGAATGAGTTTTAGGATGGTCAATATCGATCCACTCCTTCTGGTACCACGCCCACAAATTTGGAATAACCATGAAACTCATATAACGGGGAATTGGGAATCCTTTCCATTAAAATTTGGCACAAGATCTATTGTATGTATGGAATATATCGGACCACTCCTTCTGGTATCTCCGACTCCATCCTTTTGATATCTTCCCCACAAGGTGCCACAAGTATTTTTTAGTACCAACCTTCCTTTCCAAAATACTCCAGACACAATAGCCTAACGGATTGGTATCGGGAGATTTTTGGTGGCCATTGTGCACTGGAAATGAAGCGAGAAACCTCATTTTGTAACCATTCTTGGGTGGCGCGTGCTGAGTGCGATGGTCCTGAGTCTTGGAGTGTTGGAATGTCCAAGGTCTACGTCCAAAATGTTTGCGTGCCCAATGTTTTAATACACCCTCCAGAATATTTGCGCGATAATATTCGGCATTTATTCAAAGAGCGGAGAGCGATCATCGGCTGTTATGGCAGCCCACACCATCACCATGACCGGCACTTGAGTTCTGGTGGCCAACCGAAGGTGCACATTTTCAGCTGACCTCTTTGCCAAGTAAACACGATCATTTTGTTTGTTTACAAACTACTGGACAACGATTGTTTTCTCATCGGAAAAAAACCAAATTCGGTAGTTCACCACCACTCGGCCAAGCGAAGCAAGTCTTTAGGTCTTTTGAGTCTATTTTCTTTCTGTTGCGGTGTAAGTTCTTGCACTTTTTGTAATTTCAATGGCTTGACCCCGAGCTAATTCTTCAATATTTGCCGAATGGAATATTGCGATATGTTCAGCTCATGAGCCATTTTTCGGCCACTGCGATGCGGGTTTCGTCGCTTCTTTATTTTTCGAATCATTTCTGCTGATGTTGCTGCTTCCTTCCGACCACTTCCTTGTTGAAAGCCACTTGTGGTTTTCCAGTCAAATATAAAGAAATCACACTATCACTCTTGAATTCCATCACGAAAACTTTTTTCTGGAAAATTCTCGCCAAAATGCTTTTGTACGCTTGTAAACAATATAAAGAGCTGCCACTGGAATAATTTTAACAGCTTTCGGAGAAGTGGCTTAGAAATGACAGCAGTTTGAAGTTGGTGGCCCCCTTTGTAAGGCATGTTCCAGAAGAAGTGCTCCTATATTTTCCATCTTCACACCAGGTCTTGTTTTAGTAGAAGCATTGAGTTATG